ATCACACTCAACTGTGCATTCGTGTGGACTATTGCAGGCGGTGGCAAGGGCCAGTGGCTAACACCGGAAGTTATGAGCATGTTCATGTTCCACTCCATGAGGCCCATGACGCTCAAAGAAGAAACGGATGTGTTGGAGGCCCTGGTGAGTCCCCGTTACAAAAACATGTATTGGAATCCCTTCGACACAATTGACACGGATTGTTAATGGGTACCGCAAAACGTGCCCGACTTTCGTTCTGACAGTCGTGTGGTATGTACCCCATCAGGACACGTTTCCCGCGTCGCGCGCTGCTACTTCTGCCGTCCGGTTCAGGTCGGCGCGAGACCCGCGGTACTAGCAGCCCCGTCACCTCGTTGTTTACTTGTACCACCTCGGACCTCTCGTGCCGCTGCACAGCCGCCGTGGTGCAGCTGGGCAAGTCCCTGCCGCCCGCGCCCGTCCACCGCCGTCTTGCAGTCGGCGCCGGCCTGACGCCTGCCCTGCGCGCGGGCTCAGCCGTCCGCTCCTCCGCGTAACACCACCCAGCGCTCCAGGCCCGGCCGGGTCATCGACTCCGACACGGTCCGTGGTAGGGAGGGGAGGGGGGGGGGGGCGGCACCGGCACAGGGCGGCGTCTCCAGCGGTGCCGTTCGTGCGTGCCGGCAGTGCGGCGAGCTGGGGCCGCCGGTGCGGGAGGGTGGTGCGGTTCAGCCACGCGCTGCGCTCAGCCGAAGACCCCACCCTGCAGTCGCTGGCGGCCTCGCTCTCCACCCGCCAGCTGATCCGCATCAGTCGGCGCATGCGCGCCTACCCGCACGAGGAGCCGCACGCCGCCATCTACAAGGCCTGCCTGGCCAGGTGGGTGTGGACGGCCGGGTCGCCCGGGCCGCAGACGCCGCGCAGTTTGGCCTGCCTCTGGTCGCAGACGCACAGAGGCTGGGTCGGATTTGTGTGGTTTTTTGGCTATGTGCGGGCCCCTGGTGGTGATCTCGAGAGACTTGAAGATCGGATGAATGACGGTTTATCGCGTCTTGCTGGACTGCTACCTCGTTCGTCATGAACCGTGTCGAGGCCGCCGGATAAATGAGATTTAAAAGGCTGCGCGACTGTTTGTGTGCCGCCTGTCCAGGGCTGAATGTCGGTTGCACGCCTCCTCCCCCCCCCCCCCCAGTTTCTCATTCCATCGTACCTCTGCCGCCGCGAGTGCGTGAGCCCCATCCCATCAGTGACGGCCCCGCTCCGACCAGGTTCCTGCCGCCTCTGGCGCGCCAGGCGCTGGACGACGCGCTGAAGCGAATGAAGATCGCGCCGCCGGAGGTGCCGGCCGAGGCGGCGCGCGTCTGTGAGGTGCGCGACGGCGTGCTGACCATCGGCAGCACCTCGGCGCCCGTCTTCCGGCCGCGCGATAAGGCCAAGGTGCCCGACACGCTCTTCTACGACATTGACCAGGTGAGCGGGCGGTGCCGGCGGCGGTCGGTTTGACCGGATGCGGGCTGGGTGCGGACGGCGGGGACCGTATGTGTCACAGACGGCTGCACTAGATGGGAGCAGGGTGCTGGCCAGACGTAGATTTACGGCATGAAGGCTTACCACGTGTCCTACGGCTGTCCCGGCGTCTGTTTTGCTAGGACTACGAAATATTTAGCGTATTTAGACGCTATGGATGTATTATACACATTTGCAACATGAATTTCATGGAATGCTATTTGTATGTTTACACAGCATGTCAGAGAAATGCGCGTGTATTTGTATGTCGGTGCTATGCGCTGAACAAGTTTAACATTTTGTATTGTTTTGTTTCAGCACACGGCAGTGCTAGAGGCTATTTTGGAGGATTTCACGCTCGGAGAGAACTTGCTGTTGGTCGGCAACCAGGGCGTGGGCAAGAACAAGCTGATCGACCGTTTCCTGTTCCTCCTTAATCGACCGAGAGAGTACATTCAACTGCACAGGTTCGTACCAGTCACGAGCACACTGAACTCATTTGACGATATGTACATTGCTTTGATGTCATAATGTCTCCATCCATTCAATATCGATGGATTTGCAGGTTCTTTAGGGTGCTGGGTAGGCTCATCTGCGCTTTATCAAATTTGGACCGCCAGCCGCCAGACCGGCTGACTGCACTGGCAAAAACAAAGCGGTTATGAACTACCGAGCACCTCCCGATGGCAGCTCACCCCTCCAAGGACGCCACGGTGTAGGTGTCCCTCTGACTGGCGAGTGTCCACCCCTCGAGAGACAAGTGTCCCCCTGACTGACGAGTGTCCACCCCTCCAGGGGCAGGTGTCCCCCTGACTGACGAGTGTCCATCCCTCGAGGGACAGGGTGTCCCCCTGACTGACGAGTGTCCACCCCTCCAGAGGCAGGTGTCCCCCTGACTGACGAGTGTCCATCCCTCGAGGGACAGGGTGTCCCCCTGACTGACGAGTGTACACCTCTCCAGAGGCAGGTGTCCCCCTGACTGACGAGTGTCCACCCCTCCAGGGACAGGTGTCCCTCTGACTGACGAATGTCCGTGCCTCCAGGGACACCACGGTGCAGACGTTGACGGTGCAGCCGACGGTGCGGGACGGCCGGATCGAGTACGAGGACAGCGCCCTGGTGCGCGCCGTCCGCACCGGGCACGTGCTGGTCATCGACGAGGCCGACAAGGCGCCCACCCACGTCACTTGCATACTCAAGGTGAGGAAGGCGCGCCGCGTGGCCGCGCTGGGCACGTGGATAGCTGGCGGAGCGCCGCGCCCGCCCAGGGTGCCGTGGGTGCCGTGCGGGGGAGGGGACGGCGTGCTGAGGGGTGCTGTCGAGCGACGCACACGAGGATGCGCCGAGCACTCTGCTGGCCAGCTGGCTGCTCGTGCAGCCTGTCTGTCTGGTCTAAGACGGCGGAGGCTGCGCACTCTGCAAATATTTAGAGCCCCCCCCCCCCCCCCCCCACCACACCGCTATGTCCCTTGGTTTGTATGCTAGCAGTGCTTGATATGCACCCGGCGTTTTCGGTCTGACTATATCTAAGCGATGGATTGTAATAGCCATGATATGTTTCGGTGCTGTTGTCGTTGCCACATCCATGTGTATTTTTAGTTATTGATGAAAGCTCCCACGGGGTCGCGGCAGACGTTCCACGTTTTCGGTGTTCCTTCGGGACGGTCTCGACCATGCAATTGCTGGCAGTATCTCGTCTGTAGTACGTATGTGACTGCGGGCCTGCTCCGATGTCTCAGGCCCGGTAGTCAGAGGACTGTTCCGGGCCCCAAAGTGAAGCCGTGACCCCGGGTTGGGTCACCGCACCTGAAGGTTTGTTTAAAGTTAGGCCATGGCCGCTAGCGCCGCGGGCGCGAGCTTGCACGCTGTTAGCCCGAAACAGGGCGATCGCTCTCAAGTCGCTGTCAGCTCCTGGGTAGGAGCCGGTCGGGGAAAAACCTACCGAAGTCAAGCTTGATCCACACACCTCCCACCTACACGGACGCGCACATTAGCCAACTGCGCCGCCGGGATGGCGGACCACGACACCATAAACTCATCGTCGTAGCCATTAGACGGTTCAAGTTCCCAAGTGGGTGCCGGATGTCTGAAAACCGACCGTCGACTGAAGAACGATCTCCGCCACTGCTGCATCGCAGAGAAAGGTCTCACCAGAACATCACGTCATATGTGCCACCCAGTCACTTACGCTGACCGCAAGAGTCAAAAACCTTTGGCATGGTATTCTCGAGATCCAGATATACAACCCACGCAAGATTGAAATGACCCAACGTGCAACGAACCACGCGCACCATCCCACATGTACGCCACAAGCCCACCATGTCATTGTCAGTCTCGCACTCGTGCTCTGCTGCACGTCCTCGCTCGGATGCCAGCGCTCGTGCGACCAGCGCTGGTCACCCGCCGTGCTGGCGCTGGTGGCGCCGTGCGCGGGCCAGCACCGACACAGCCAGGTCGGGTGACGCTCGTGTGTGACACCATGGCCCCGTATCTGATACAATGCGGACGGCGATGTAGTTCGAGGGTCCACGTGCCTACCGTGTGGCCTTGTTTGCGCCCCCTGGGTTCGCCGCGCTACCTGCGGCCCGGTCAGGGGCGGACCTGGCACGCTGCCGACCGCCCGTCGTCCGGTCTATCGCCTCCCCCCCCCCCTCCCCGTGCATGTCAGATGCTGACCAGCAGCCCGGCGTATGTTTCAGACGTTGGCCGGCGGGCTGAAGTGTGTTTCAGACGTTGGCCGGCAGGCTGACGTGTGTGTCAGACGCTGACCGGCAGCCCGGCGTGTGTTTCAGACGCTGGCCGGCGGGCTGACGTGTGTTTCAGACGCTGACCAGCAGCCCGGCATGTGTTTCAGACGCTGAGCGAGGACGGAGAGATGACGTTGTCGGACGGCCGACGGATTCGCCGCGGCGCTCCGTCCGACCAGCCAGACGTCATCGCCATGCACCCCGACTTCCAGATGGTGGTGCTGGCCAACCGGCCGGGCTTCCCCTTCCTCGGCAACGACTTCTTCGCTGCCCTCGGTGGGTTCTCTTCGCTGCCTCCGGTGGGTCTTACTCGCCGCCCTCGGTGGGTCTTATTCGCTGCCCTCGGTGGGTCCTCTTCGCTGCCCTCGGTTCCGAACGGCGCGGCATCGCCTGTTAGGCTGAATACCCAGGGTGGGGACTGGGGGACAGTGGGCTAAACACGGCATTTGTTGCGAAGGCATGTGTGTTTTTTTTCGCCGAATTATGAAATTTACTCAGGTGGGCGGGTAAAACCATTGTAAGTAAGGATGAGTACGGAGTCGGCAAGTCCAGTGGGTTGCAAGGACTAGAATTGATAGAAATAAATAGCGGAGCCTAAAGAACATGAACACCCTGAGTGCACCGAGCAAAATGAATTCGACGACCCGGCCGGGAAGTCTGAACGCTTGCCGTTCCTTGAACACTCACACCCGCAGCTAGCTCATGCTGAGCTCTAGCTATCATGCGCGGTGAAGCGTGGCTGACGGCTGTCCGGTGCCGTCGCTATCCCGTGCCGACGGTGTCGTCTGACCCGCCGTGGCTTCGATGGCAGGTGACCTGTTCAGCTGCCACGGCCGTCGACAATCCGAGCGAGCACTCGGAGCGCATGCTGCTGAAGCAGTACGGGCCCGACGTCCCCGGTAGGTCCGGCGGCGGCCGGCGGCTGGCCGCTGCTCCCAGACCCGCCTGCGGCGCCGCGCCGCGCCAGGGTGCAGCGAGTTGACGGCGGGTCGTGGCACCACACGCCCTGTGACACATCACGTGTCCGGCTCGTTTCTAGAGCACTTGAGCAGCATTTGGCGTGTGTCTGGTGGAATCATGTTTGTACGGAAACTATCAACTCAGCAATATGTCCTACGGCCGCCCCTCTGGAGAGCTGACGGCAGCGTGTGTGTGTGTGTGTGCGTTTGTCTGCTCTTCAGATAACCTGCTAGACAAGGTGGTGGCGTCGTTCGGCGAGCTGCATCAGATGTCTGACCAGGGCCTGATCGCGTACCCCTACTCCACGCGAGAGGCGGTCATGTGTGTGTGTCTGCTCTTCAGATAACCTGTACCCCTACTCCACCCGGTCATTTTCTGCTCCGTCAGATAACCTGCTAGGTGGTGGCGTCGTTCCGGCCGAGCCTGCGCCAGATGTCTGACCATGGCCCTGATCGCGTACCCTCTCCACGCGAGATGCGGTCATGTGTGTGCGTTTGTCTGCCTTCAGATAACCGCTAGACAAGGTGGGTGGCGTCGTTCTCAGCGAGCTGCGTCAGGATGTCTGACCAGGGCCTGATCGCGGTACCCCTACTCCACGCGCGAGGCGGTCAACATCGTCAAGCACCACCTACAGGTGAGGGCGTTCGGCGAGTGCGTCAGATGTCTGACCAGGGCCCTGATCGCGTACCTCTACTCCACGCGATGAGGCGGTCAAACATCGTCAGCACCTACAGGTGAGGGCGTTCGGCGAGCTGCGTCAGATGTCTGACCAGGGCCTGAATCGCGGTACCCCCTACTCCACGCGAGAGGCCGGGTCTAGCATCGTCAAGGCACCTACAGGTGAGGGCGGTGCGCCCCCAGCCCAGCCGACGGCGCCGCACTCAGTCCCCGCTGACCGGTGGGACGATGAGAGCACCCCCGAGTTTTTGATGGGCGTGTGTACCCCTGTAGGCGGCCGATTAGCTCTTTACTACCCAGCACGCCCGCGGAGGAAGCGCTGTGATGAAGTCCTCGTTTGCCCCTGTAGGCCCTGAGCTACCAGGTGATCTTAGTGTTCTCATCTGCACGCGAGGGTCGCTGAGCTATCAGGTGATCTTGGTGTTCTCATCTGCACGCGAGGTCGCTGAGCTATCAGGTGATCTTGGTGTTCTCATCTGCACGCGAGGTCGGCCTTCGTGACGGCATTCGCCGAAATTCGATCAAAGAGGTTACCGGAGGACCAGCGTCGTGTCTGTGTCTGACGCTGTGCCTGTGGTCCCCCGGCAGCGGTATCCGGAGGACCAGCGTGGTATCTGTGTCTGACGCTGTGTCTCTGGTCCCCCGACAGCGGTACCCGGAGGACGGGCTGGCCAGCGTGGTGCGGAACGTCTTCGACTTCGACTCATACAGCGTAGAGACACGCGACTCGTTGGCCCAGGTGCTGCACAAACACGGCATCCCTATCGGCGCCAGCGCCCGCAACCTCCACCTGGCCAAAGAGTAAGCCCGGTGGCGGCCGGCCGCGGAGGTGAGGGGGGAGGGCTCGGCGCCCGTCCTCTCTGGCAGCCCGCTAGGACCCAACCAGACGGCTCGGCCGGTGGCTCAGGGCTGCGGAGGCACGCGTCGTTTTTGGCGCGAGGCGCAGGCAGTGTGCTCCCGCGTGAGCGACATCTGGCGATGCTGCGGCAGTTATGCAGTTGACTCCGCGCTGTCGTGATTCACGGAGAATGCCCATTGGCGCGGCGGGTGTCTAACAGTGACCTAATGATATCCGTGTTTGTTTTTCGTCATGCGCATTCTGTGTCAAATTCAGCAGCATTCTAGTTTTTAATTGCACCTATGCATCTGTGACAGGGTGCGGAACCGGCGGGTGAACTATAGCGGGTAAATGCTTGTATTGCAGGGATGTGGGTTTATTGCTCCGAGCCTACCTGTAGACGGTTACTGAACAAATTGTGCTCCTTTGCTCGGTGAAACTTAGACGTTATAGGGAGCCGAAGCTAACCGGGTTCCTGTTTAAAAGCATGTAAAAGCTGGTGGCTATATTCACTCGTCCGTCCAGTTTTAATGCCCACATTTGCTGATCCCTGGCTGTTGCGTGGAATTCCCCCCCGCCCTACGCGCATGGGATGGCTTAATTATATAATGACAAGTGCGGGTTGGAGAGGTTATTTCTCGAGTTATTTTCCGCAGAGGGCTCAGATGTTACTTTTTATTGCCAGACTGCATTTTATCGTTGTGGCTCATAAATGCAGCACCAAACTACTCAGAGAACTTAGGCAAGAAGGAAGCATGTATGTTCGCTCTCCTTCAGACTGGGCTAGTGGTCAGTCTGCTGTGCCGAATGTGCTGATGTGTATATACTGATGCGACAGGTGGCGTTGACAGGCTGCTGGACGGCTGGGACGCCGTTGAGCTAACTCTGACCCACGCCTAGGACGTGCGTAAAGCGTTGTGTGCGAACCTCGGGTTAGCGCAGCGCCGTGGCCTGTTGACAACGCGGTTTTTGTGGTGGGCGTATATTGGGCAGGTGGGATTTACCTCGTGGTGGGCTGGCTGCTCGCTGGAGCCCCACTGGCTGACCAGGCTGTGCGCGCCCTTGCTGCATGGTAGCATGTGTGTCGTTAAACATGTAATTCAATACATTATTTCTGACGCGGGCCATCTTTTCCTTGAGCGAGAGGAAAATTGATAGACTTTTTGTCATTTGCAAACGTAAAATGCGGGAATTAGTCGATGTGTTGTATATAAGTCCCTCATGTTTATGCATCAATGGTTTTTTGATCAAGGCCCGTCAGCCACGGCAACTACTGCGATGTAGCTAGTAACACAATCTACAAGCATAACCCTAGTCAACCGCACATGAAAGTGCTCACATTGATGTGAGCGTTATGTACCACTGTGCTGCTTTTCGTGCTTTGGAAATAATGAAAACAACGTTAATGGCGTGAAATTGCCTGATAACATCCAGCGCTTGTTTGCATAAGTAAATCAGCTATGTTTACACCAGTTTCACCAGCATTGCCTTCAACGTTCCCATCAGCCGTTGGTCAGTGCTGGGGATCAGTATAAAGACTTGCGTGGGATCCGCACCACCCCAGCTTTGGGTCAGCCGTCCGCTGCTTCAGTTCGTCGGCCGATTTTGGGTACATGCGCCGCAAACAGGCCCCCCTGAAGTTCGTCGGCTGATTTTGGGTACATGCACCGCAAACAGGCTCCCCTGAAGTTCGTCGGGGATGAATATTCTTTCAGTACTGCGATTGCGTCTTGGATGCTGCTTGCTTGGATTCAGATTGGGCAAATCACAGGTTTACAGTGGTAGCCTTACATCGAAGTCAGAGTATATGCAGCATTTACGTGCCCACGTCGACGCATTGGCACGGTTCTGCATCACTGGTGTCAAGTTTGCTGATGCAATTTGCAGACTGTTCTGCTCGCCATAGCTACTGATTTATTCCATTAGCTCATAATTCGAGCCATCCGCACAGAGTTAGTGCGTATTAAAACGCCCGCTATCATGGGATTTACGAATGTAGGTCTGCGGGCGTCGAGACATAATTTCGGTTGGGACGAGACAGCGGAGGTGCTCAGTTAAGGTACGAGTGCATACGAGGACAATATGAAAGGTGATTCTCCATTCGGCCCTTCCGCCACGATGACCGTGTGCAAGAATGCGAATATTCGCATTTGACACAAATGAAAAAGTACGTGGTACGGTCAAGCTAACATTATGTGACGATAGTTCAGCACATGCAGCAACTGAAGCTATTCCTGACAGCTCATGTACTTGCATACCCAGAAATGGGAGATCCAGAACGGTTGTTAATGCAAACCAGGTTACGATTAACCCCGCTCTTGCATGGTTATTGGCATTCCAATGTGATGCAACCGCTTTGCTGTTGACGGTTTTAACATGTCACGACATGAAATTAAAATTGTAGCCCCCTGCGAACCCACTTCGAGCAGGAGTGATCTGTCCGCTATATTACCGAGACCACGGATCTGAGGCTGTCTCGGTATTCTCGACAGGCGCCGTCTCCCGCACTGTCCTCAGGTACTGCCGTCGGCCATAGTCCGCTGACAGTCCCCGTGCTCCTCAGGTACTGCCGTCGGCCATAGTCCGCTGACAATCCCCGCGCTCCTCAGGTACTGCCGTCGGCCATAGTCCGCTGACAGTCCCCGTGCTCCTCAGGTACTGCCGTCGGCCATAGTCCGCTGACAGTCCCCGCGCTCCTCAGGTACTGCCGTCGGCCATAGTCCGCTGACAATCCCCGTGCTCCTCAGGTACTGCCGTCGGCCATAGTCCGCTGACAATCCCCGCGCTCCTCAGGTACTGCCGTCGGCCATAGTCCGCTGACAGTCCCCGTGCTCCTCAGGTACTGCCGTCGGCCATAGTCCGCTGACAGTCCCCGCGCTCCTCAGGTACTGCCGTCGGCCATAGTCCGCTGACAGTCCCCGCGCTCCTCAGGTACTGCCGTCGGCCATAGTCCGCTGACAATCCCCGTGCTCCTCAGGTACTGCCGTCGGCCATAGTCCGCTGACATTCCCCGTGCTCCTCAGGTACCCGCTACCGGCGGCGGTCCGCTGCGGCGAGTGGCGCCAGCCGGCGGACGGCGAGGGCCGCCGCACGCGGCTGCTGCGTCTGCTCACCGAGCGGCGGCCGCTGGAGCTGCGCGGCCCCTACCGCTTTCCGGGCCGTCAGATGACGCTGGAGCGGATCGAGGCGCGCGGCACGGCCTTCGGCGAGCTCCGCTCTCACTGGGCGCTGCCGCTGGACGAAACCGAGATCGTATCTGACGTCCGGGTCAGCAGAGGTCAGTCGGAGAGGGCACGGGTCAGCGGAGGTCATTCGGAGCGGGCATGGGTCAGCGGAGGTCATTCGGATAAGGCATGGGTCAGCGGAGGTCATCCGGAGAGGGCACGGGTCAGTGGAGGTCAGTCGGAGACGACTAATACTTTCTCTGAGATTAGTCGCGAGGCAGGTCAGGAATTGCTGAGAGCGGGCTGGAACTGACCATAAGAATACAGATACCGGTACGTAGGCTGCCTGATGCCGGCCTTTCCTGAGCCGTACATCTAGCGAGGCTATTGACTGACCTCAGCACTGATGGTGCCTGCCGAAGAAGCCGAAGTAGCCATGTCTGCGCCAGATCGTGAGAAGCAGTCGCTTATGCCTGATGTAAGGGGCATCGTCTCAGCCGGGTCGTTGACCTATCGGCTGCGCAGGTGACCTCATACGCATACGAGGAGGCCAGTTTGTGGAGGCCGGTGTCTGGGCTGACCACAGTTTACTTTGTTTGCCATCTGCAATGTGTGTATTCTTTGCTCTCGTATGCATATGAGGTGCGGTGCTGAGAATCAGTATCATAGTATCCGGGTTGGACCCATCGGGTGATAGTCTTATGAAATTCGTTGGAACTTGCGCCGTATTCCCTTCATTCATTGGTATGGTTTTCCAGTACTTTTTT